TGATGGCCTGATATAAAGGAGAACAACCTACCTGGTTGGATATGAAATTGCTCTATTGGTAGGTATGTCTCATTTCATGGAATGGGCCAGAAAGGTGCAAAATGACACATGGTAGACGATAGATTTTGACTATAGAGCAAGCCAAGCGATGTTCAGAATTTCTCAACTGTATATTTAACGACTACGATGAATTTGTTCTAAGCAGAACGGCAAGATCCATGGCTCGACGGATCCCTCTAGAGCAAAGATGTCTGAGCCGGATCGAATTCGACTAGAAACTGCTAGCTCTATCAACTCATTCTCTATTGATCTAACGTAGTCTCTGACTATGCGATAGCTAACTTCAACGGAGGTACTAGTAAGAGTTAGGGAAGAGGTTCGCGTTGCTATTGAGTCTAGTATGGCTGACGACGAATTAGGCTATCCTTATTCATATGTCCTGGATACCTAGGTAGTTGGTTATTTCCACGAAATTAGGCCTAGCTTAGTCGATATACCTCGATAACCACTGTTCAAGGAATGCGAAGCTATCATTTGGATACGGCGTTCAGATCTGTCCTGACAATGAAGTGCCGTAATTGGTTCAGTAGTCTCCACGCGCTTCTTGCAAGATCATCGTAGAAGAATTAAGAATTACATTATGCGGTTGAAAGACGGCTTGTATGAGGTAGGGATCATTTTCAAATCAGTGAGATCTAGGCCAACTGTCTAAGTTATCGTCTTCAATATTATGGTCCTCAACAGGAGCAAAACGTAAACTTGGAACTAGATGGCCTTTGTGTAAGAGGGGTTAATTCCATCGCGATCCTAGATAGGAACGGGTGCGTATACGGTATCTAATTATATGGTAGTCATTAATATCGTAAATTATTCTAACGCCTGAACCTCGTCAAGAATCCTAGCCTGAGGAACTTGGGCGGCGAAGGAGATGTAAGCCCTTTCTCTTGCTTCTCTCTTAGCGGGGACATCTTCTCGTCCCGACTATAGCTGCTCTTAGCTCGATGCCCTAGCTTTCCCTTCAGAGTCCATAGGGAATCCGCTTTTCTCAGTAGCGGGTTCCTCGCTCCCGCCTTACGTCTCTCGTACATCTCGTCACTCTGCGTCCAGTCGACCCGGTGTTCATGTGCCGCTGCCGGGTCGACTACCAATGTCTCTTCCGATGATATCTCGTCGATAGGTAAGTCGGACGCCGCGGTTGCATGTACCGTCAGGGGCTCATCTTCTGGGATATATCCGAAACTAGCCTTCCTCCCCGATTTCACAGGGTTAAGGCCGATGCTGCTGTGCCGGCGATGGTGGCGACTCTCTTCCGAACTACGGCGTTCATCCGCCACCGGACCCAGGTTCTGGAACTGGTTCCTCTCATGCATCTTCTCGCGGTGGCTTTGCGCTCTCTTCAAAGCGCGGCTCTGCTGTGCCGGTGTTATGCTTGAATCCAGCTCGATTTGGTCGGACGGCCGACCCTCGACGTGAAACTTGATCGCTGATTGAGACAAGCTGTGCACGAGATTCTTCTCTCGCATGCTGTTGGCCGTCGCGGTCCTCTCAAATTGCGTAGCGGCTTCCTGGGGGACATGGTGATACAACGGAGCGCGTAGCTCGCTCTCTGTCGACACTGGCGCTACTCTTGAGGGTTTGCGCCGTAGTTTGTCTTGAATGGACCTTGACATCGACCGGCCGAGTTTTGGTTCTGATGATTTGGCACTGCCTTCCTTCTGATGTGGATTCACTGTCGCGTGCTTGCTCCTTGCCACCCTTGCTGCGAAACTGGCCTCACTGGCTTCTGGCATCGTGTTTGCTGATTTTAGTACGGCCGTATCAGTCTTGCCTATCCCTGATTGTCGGCTCATAGGCGTGCTGTACTCTTCATTCTGTGTTGCCCTCGATCCTTCTTCCAGTCTTTCTCTCCGCCTCTTCTCCTTTAACGCCTCCTGTTCCGCGAGAACTACGTAGAGTCGCCGCCGTAAATCATCGGCATCAAAAGGCTGTGATTTGCCATGCCGGTGCTGCTTGGTGTGATTCTGTCTGGATGGTTCTGGCTTGGCAGCTGCTTGCCTCGCTGCACCTGACGCTCGATGGTCGCCCACGGAACGACCCATGGTGAACTGCATTACGTTTGGCCCTTCTGCCTAGATGAACCTGATAATATGGTGATGCGAATTGTTTTAAGCTCTCTAGGAGTATCAAAATCGTATACTAGACGAAGGTATGATCTAGAGATTGGAGCCGGAAGTGTGTACTAAATCCTCTTCAAAGTGGGATGTTGCGAGAGGTTGTGAGAAGTTATGATTCTTGACGTCTCACAACGTGTAGATTTCATGTCGCGCCTAGTCTATCTCCTGAAGTGCGAGCTTGTTCTCGAAGCGAAAGGTAAAATTAAGACAACAGCGATGTACGTTGTAAGTCAGCGATAATTAGGTAAATGTGTATAGATAAGAGAAGCGCGTTGGAGACAGAACCTTTCTCGGCCAACAACATCAAGGTTCTAAGGTGAAAGTAAAAATAACAATAACAGGTTACATTACTTCCACGAGATGGACAAGACGAGCCATCATCTACCCCATTAGGGAGGTCGACTCTTCTTATTGATGAAAATCCGGGGCAGAAGAGCAAGCGGAATGCGCCCGTCTCGGTCAAGCGAATGAAGCCTCTTCTAACGTAACATGGGTACAGGGGCTCGTGGACGGTAGCGAACGGCAGTGGTCCCGTCATTTGACTATCGAGCGTTCGTTGTCTATGTACTAGAGGATACCTTAGCTCTAGAGGAAGAGGACGACACTAACGATTCCTGGCGAGTGCGTGACCTCGACCTCTTCTATTGCCCTGATTTCTGCACGTTGAGATCTTGTAATCAGCAGGCTTACAGCTTGTGAGACGCATTCCTGGTGCGACAATTTACCCGGCGCTGGATCTATAACGATGCACTGCAACCCTCTCTGGCGCGAGTCGAAGGAGGCGGTCTGCTGGGACCTTCTCGTGGTACGGCCGTGAATTCGAACTGGAGGAGTTGGCTAGAGAGAGATGGAGAGGAGGGGATAATGGCGGTTGAATCCCTGTCGTGATCCTTGGTCATACATAACAACCCCAGCCTGCACAGTTAGGCTCTGTCCTCATATTGGTTCGTGCTGAAAAGCTTGCATGCACGTACCCTAGTGGCCTTTTCCCCAAGGGGAAGAGGAGCCAAGAGGAGCCAAGAGGAGTCAGTATCTAGACGGGGAGACGCCTCTTCATTCCAAATTCTGCAAACCAGGGGCAAGGCAAGCTCTCCTTCATGTTGTTGCACAACGTTTCCGTCGGTATTATCCCGTCATGGTCTCGGTGTTTCTATCTGCACGCCCTGTCCTACTACGGGTATGTTGCCGATTGTCGTAAGGGGTACCGGTACGACCTGTAGGTGGATTACATTACGCATCGCCGCGTGGTGTGCTTGATAGTTACATCCATCTTACGACGAACTCGGTCGATGAGAACACAATTCATCCAGCTCAGATGCCAAGTCATGGTAGCTGGAGACGTTCCAGGTATGGATGTCCAACCATATCCTACACCCGGACGCTTGGCCTTCACCAATATATTTACCTACTGTCGGGGCGCGCCAACCGGCAGTTTATGGGGGTACAATAAATCATACCTTAGGTATGTAGGCACACAGTACCAGAATTCTGCGACTTGGCGTGCATGAATCCTTTTGTAGATTAGCTAGCGACCGAAGCCATGCAGTTCTGCAAGTCGAATATTAACGGACACAATTTTGTGTTATTATTGTCGAATACATGGCTCGAGGGATGGGGACAACTCTATGGAGACAATACGCTGATCGATACATAAAGATACAGCCTGCTCGTGTAACTCCCGCACAGAGACGCGTGAGCTGTTACAAAGGCCATCATGGGTGAGATAACGTATTCGACGTCTCCGGGCTCTTTACCTCAATACTAGTCTCCTGGGGAGAGTTCTGAGAGACACAAATATTAGATAATAGTGTCATAGGGAAAATACGGAAGGGACTTGGAGCAACATGTTATACAGACAGACGACTTCTATCCGAAGAATTATCTTAGCTACCTACAGCTAGATTCGTCGACAACCACACTGTGATTAATACAGCATCCTTGCCATAGCAGGGAGATCCCGTCAGGCACGAGCGGCATGATAATATTGCAGGAGATGTGCATGAAGGTAAGGTAGGAGTTTTTGACGGACAACGGCTACCTGCAGCCCGAACCAAGCGATAGTTGCAGTCATGGCTGAAGGATATTACTTAATACTCGAGCCGCCAAAGGGCTTGATCAATACGAGGAAGGGAAATAGGGTAACAGCAAGGGTGCAAGAACGTTCTAGCCAACATCAACATCGCATGCACATGCTTCTAGATTGAGAGGAGCATTCGAGTACAACTGGACGACGATGTACCATCTCCGGCGGATTGAAGATATCTGCGGCTGCTGCCATAGAATGACAAATTCGGAGATTTTGCGAATCGTCGATCAATAACTCTTGATCGACGACCCGAGCGTAGGATCTGGGGTCCCGGATGATACCGAATGAAGAGAATCATAATGATACCTGAAGCTTTGAGAGAGTCTCGTGCGAGCAAGCAGCCCAAGTAACAGGGTTAACCTATTGTGAGATTGATACAAGCCTAAAGGCGGCGGCAAGGTACGCCTATTGCTGCATTGCCTGTAACTGTAGCGGCAAGGACAAATGAATTTGATGAATGGCGTTGTTCCAGGCCAGGTTATAGTGGTTCATCTTATGTCGCAATAATTCTGTACGCCAAGTTCAATCTTGCGTTGCAGCAGAATATCTCCTCTGAATAGGCCCGACCGGTGAATTCAGCGACTAGGGACGTTAATGGGGAAGGGTAAAATTGAAGTGGAATTAAAAGACAATTGATGTTAAAGTTGCACTCTCAATCAGCCTGGCTGCTAGAAAGGGAAAGAACAAGACGATACGATACGTAACTATGTACCTAGAAATCCAAAAAGATGAAAGTGTGACTCTCGATCGGGGAATCGAACCCCGGTCTCAGGCGTGACAAGCCTGCATCCTAACCACTAGACTAATCGAGACAAGTTCAAGATCTCGAGGATGCCTATTGGCTCATTCGATGGTTTCGTCAGCGCTTAGGGCTGTGTATGTAGCAAACTTGAATCTGGAAGATCTGACTAGCCAATAAGAGAGCGAGTCCCTAGGGACTGAACCGAACGCTTCAACTTCGTACCTATTCTCTTATCTTCGAATATAATGCTTTAATTAGGTAGATATCAGCTAGATAGAAGTGACTAGTATTTTATAGAATACGATATACTTATAGATGCCTTATTAATAAGAATACATGCTATAACTACTGACATACAAACAGACTAACATGGTGATGGATGTTAAGATACCTAAGTACCCAAGGTTTACCAGCTGCTCGTTCAAAGTGGGGTAAGATCTTACTCCAATCCCCGCTATGTAGATCTGTTGCCCCTCATCAAGAGATATCAGATTTGACAAAGAGCTTTCTCCAAGAGGGTAGGTACGGCAACTCTCGGTGAGCAAGTTTTCAGATCTCAGCTGAGCTACGTGTAAGTAATAAGCCAAGTCGAACTTCATACTCCACTGAGAAAGGCGAATCGTCATCTGTGCTACCTAGTACTGTACCTTCTTCGCTTCAGCCTTTCTTGACTCCTCCTAGGGGTCTCATTACATATATCAAAAACTCGGGTATCATTCCACCCCACAATGGCACACTCACACGACGGCGGCATGACGAGCCATTCTCATTCCCACGACGGCTTCTCGGTCGCCGAGCACGGGCACTCACATGAGATCCTCGACGGGCCGGGGAGCTTCCTCGGGCGCGAGATGCCCATCGTGGAAGGCCGCGATTGGCACGAGCGGGCCTTCACCGTAGGAATTGGAGGGTAAGCGCCCCTATTCATCTATATATCCTACCTACCTAGGACGCCTATTGGTCAGGAAGAAGGCCATATGTCCAAGCAGCCGTCACATGTAACATCGATCCAACGTCACACAAACCCAGACATTATACAACATAAGTCAACAGTCACTAACACGAAGGCAACAGCCCCGTGGGCTCAGGCAAGACCGCCCTAATGCTAGCCCTGTGCCTAGCCCTGCGCTCGCAGTACTCGATCGCAGCCGTTACCAACGACATCTTCACGCGGGAGGACGCCGAGTTCCTAACCAAGCACAAGGCGCTGCCGGCGTCGCGCATCCGCGCCATCGAGACGGGCGGGTGCCCGCACGCCGCCGTGCGCGAGGACGTGTCGGCGAACCTGGCCGCGCTCGAGGACCTGCACCACGAATTCGCCTCTGATATACTGTTAATCGAGTCGGGCGGCGACAACCTGGCCGCCAACTACAGCCGCGAGCTGGCTGACTTTATCATCTATGTGATTGACGTCAGCGGCGGTGATAAGGTCCCGCGTAAGGGCGGCCCCGGCATCACCCAGAGCGACCTTCTCGTTGTCAACAAGACGGATCTAGCCGAGGCCGTGGGCGCTGACTTGGGGGTAATGGAGCGCGACGCGCGCAAGATGCGGGAGGGCGGTCCGACCGTGTTCGCACAGGTTAAGAAGGGTGTTGCCGTTGACCATATCATTAACCTGATCATCAGTGCCTGGAAGGCGAGTGGTGCTGAGGAGGTTGTCAAAGCGACAGGAGGTCCGAGGCCCACGGCGGGTTTAGAAACATTGGTCTAAGGTGACAATAAATTCACCTGATTTGCGTACAATGTCACGTTAATACGATACTAAGGAGGGTGCTCTCACGAGCTTAGATGAGAGGCATGTAACCTAAATCAAGATCGTCATTCCCATAACAGTCCCAAGGCTTGAGACGTGAAAGTTGCTACCAGTACTCCTATTCGTAATCTACTCGTAATCAGAGAACGACGTCACAATGTCCTAGGTCAACCCCCCGACTTTATTGGATATCCTCATTCATATCCTCATCTTGCGATCCCGACGCCCCTTCTAAAAGCGGCCTAGTAAAAGGGATGGCACTCCGTGGCCATACTCGCTTGTACAGACTGACACCAACCGCATCCTGCGGATTGATTCTTCCGTCAAAGTTGGCTTTGAAGTACCCGTGGGTACCTAGGGTCTCCTTGATGTAGCCGCTTCTTCCTCTCTTCGTCCACAACGGTAAGGCCTTGAACCATTCCACGTCTTCTCTGTTGAAGAACATGTACCGGATGGTAACGACCTTCTTGTGGATGTGATAGGGATGACCGGTCAAGATGACACGCTTTGCGATAACCCTCGATGTCGAAGGTGGACGAGCAGTTCCCGTTGCTACTAGTTGTAGAGGCACAACGGCCTCACCGTCTTCTCCTTCGGAACTTGTTCGCTTGAAGAATAGCGTCGGCACGGCTCCCCAAGTGATAGGGCCCATGAATGTCGCAATCGCAGATTGACCGGGGTGAAGGTACCGGCAATACTTGTGGACATTGTTTTCGGTATTACCGGGGTGCGAGAATAGGGGGTTGATGATGAACCGCCGAGGTCCACATTGAACAATGAGCTCCTCCTTGCCCTTGATAGACTTCTCAAAGTCTTCCTTGTGGGTTATATCAAAGTTCAATGATGTCTTCTTGTTTTCATGTCGTAGAAGGGAGAAGAGAGATACCGGCTGGGAAGGGGTATAGGATTTCTCGAGATCCCTGGGGACACCTCTAAGATGAACATGGACTCTTGTTCCAGGTGCTACTCCGCCGATCAGAGCTTCTCGTATTGAGCGGTTTCGAGAAGATTGGTAGTCGGAAATCTGCAGTAATCTCGACCATTCCTCTGGTTGATACGCTCGGTCTTCCTCTGTGTTCCAGGGGCTTGTCCGCAAGCTTTTTAGTCCTCTGTATTTGGATAGCCGTTCTCTTGCAAGGACATTCGGGTGTAACTCGATCTCATCTGGAAATTCTTTGTCTTCTTCTGCCTCGTCACGTTTTCTTGCACGATAGGCTTCTAGTTGTGCGGCATCGTCGTCCTCGTTTGGTTCGACAAACATCTCCGACTGAGGGTACTCAGACATGGCACCTTCGGTAGGTTCCCTGTGAGCTAGACCCTCCATGCCGTCCTCCGGAGCCGCAGGGATATCATCGCCCTGAACGTCTTCCATCTCTTGATCGTCTAGTTCTGACTCGGAATCTGACACGTCGTCTAGGAACCAAGCCGCTTGGTAAGATGATGTTCCCTTGGGCAGTTTCTTCGGCGCGGCATACACCTCTGGCTCCTCCTCAGAGAAATAGTGATGATCATCTAGCAGCACGCCCTTTTTGGTTGTAGGTTCTTTCATATCTTCCTCCACATCGGCATCATCCATCGTGACCTCTTCCGGGGCCAACTCGGCAATGTCATCTTGGTCATTATCCGGAATCTCTAAGACATTCTCGGCTTCCTCCTGGTCTACGACCATTCCGTCGTCTTTCCGTTTCTTAGTCGGAAGAGGCGCAGCGGTGATCTTCTCGATCTGGAAGGTTCCCCAATCTCCTACATGAACCAAACGGTCGGCCTTGAGGCCCTTCCCCCGAACGATACCCGTAAGAACCGTTGATTCAGTTTCAGTCGAGGGCCACCTGATCTCATCTACGAGCATCCATGATCGCTGGTCTCTCCAATTGATGCCTTTTGGTGTCGTGGTGCAGAGTGATCTCATAAGGTTTGAGCATTCCTGTCTCGAGTCGAGGTTGTATATCTTCTCCTGCCCCGGATGAAAATGTGTCATGAATGAGGCGAGCGATTTGACAACGTCTGGGCGGGCCTTCGCAGGCTGGATCTTATCTAGATTCTGCACAACCGTGAACAGTGTCGACATGCCCTGGTTCTCGATACTTCGGATAATGAGTTCGCCCAAAGCATCGACCTCGACCTTTGAAGATAGTATGAAGACGACAAAGTCTGCAATTCTCGCCGCATCTATGCACGCGGTGAGATCCCTCTTAACCGGGACATATTGAAGCTTCTGCTTGAAACGATCGACGGGTACTCGGAAACTGGACTCGGGGACCTCGGATTCGATATCGAGACTGCCGTTGAGGCTCTTGATAGCCGCGGAGACGTCATTGTCTATGCAGAGTGGCACCACAGCCACTATCCTCGGCGCAGCATCTCGTCCAGAGAAGATGGAAGTTTCCCTTTGATGTTCCTTGTGTTTTGCTAGTTGGCGCTGCTTTGCCTGGTTGCGACGGTCGAACTTGGACATGACTTGCTGATGCGGAGTCTTGCGTTGACTTGTTTCATTGGGTATTTTGCCTGTAGAAACAAGGTATTAGTCAATATGGAAGTAAAGCGATCAATACTATAGTCGTACCTTTGGCTTGGTCTCGTAGAGCACCTTTGGTGGTCTTCCTGGATTTATAGGACTTGGGCAAGACCTTGGTGGTCGGCCGATGAGAGTGGGCGGCTATTGCTGACGGCATTTTACCGTCGCCTCCAGCTTTGAATCGAAATGGTAGTGACGCCAGGTTGGATTGGGGAGTTCGTATGTTCCAAGGTTGAGATGTTTCGTCAAAGTTTCCGCCGTGCGAGCGCTGTCTCTGAACTCTGAACTTTTGGAGGGGCAGAGGGGCAATTAAAGTTGTATCGGCTAGTCGTGATGCGATTCTTATCACAATTATTTTTTCTGTGCGGATTGTTATCTTCGTTTATCGATCCGGTTACCCATCGATAAGAACTTTTTAGCGGGGCCAAACTCCTTATCGTTCTGTCGCTCAATAAATTTTTGGGTTGCGCTTTTGAGCTTGGCTTGGCATTGATCAACACTAGAACATTCACCACCAGACACTGACTTCACACAAATCCCCTTCAATTTCTTAATGAATCCAACCGCCAAGGGGAATTAACATGGAGGTCAACACTGAGTCTGTGAATAAACCAACCAAGACAAGTTACGACAATGGCGCTCGCGTCATCAAGCGAGCGAGAACGGAACTTGTCCCGAAGGAAGAGCGAGAGAGACGACGTCGCTTGAAGGAAGCGCAAAGAGACTATGGTCGAGGAAACAAAGTCAATGTCAAGGGGATTAAGGATAAGAAGCTACGGAGCAATCTCAAGTCTCTCGAGAC